ACACATTTCATTACTTTTTCATCATTATAACGTCGACAAACAACTTGTAATGAAATAGGAGCATTAACATAAGATTGAGCTGATGTATACAATTTATAATTTTCTTCATCAAGTGTATTTCGAGGTTTATAATCAATTTCTACTTGATCTTTGACAAGATCAACAGTTGTAACAGGAAAAACAGCAGCTGGATAATCAAGAAGATTCCATATAGAAGTATAACCCCACCATTTGGCTGTACCATGTTTAGGAGCTGCAGATGGACCAACAGGTGTCAGAATACAATCAATAGAACAATTTAGAGAAGTTTCTCGTTCATTCCATATATGAGCATAACGATTACGATAATTTTCTCTTTCTACAATCACTTCATTCATTTCAGTCCAGTTTCTTTTTTTTACATGTGGTTGATTAAGAATCCATTCTATTAATGGTAGAGGTTCTTCATTTACTTCTGCCATTATATTTCGTTCTTCTTCAGCTCCATTGCAAAAATATAAAGCACTAATCAAATCCCAACCTTTTTGATGATCAATTGGTTCCCAATCAATAATTCGAATTCCAGATTTTTTCAAATATTCGACAGTTTCGTGAAGAGCTCGAGTAATAGGTGGATGAGGATGTACAACGCCATCATCCCACATGACAGCCACTGTTAAATTTTTCGAATCCAATGTAATTGATCTCCAAGGAATAGGTACAAGAGATGGATCTCTTAGCCATGGTTGAGTATCAAGTATTGTTTTCATAAATAGATTAATATCTTCTCTTGCTCGAGCAAGTGGACCAGCTACAGGAATAATACTTTCTCTTCCTATTTGTGCAGCCATCAAACCTTGCAGCGATATTCGAAAAGTGGTTGGTTTTAATCCATAAACTCCATTGTTAGCAGCTGGAGAACGTATACTTCCACCTATATCAGTTCCAATTCCCATTGGACTACCTTTCAAGCCAAGTAAAGCACCTTCACCACCTGAGCTTCCACCACAAGATAGACTTCGATTAAATGGATTGACTGTAGTACCATAGATTGGACTGCTACATTCCATACACATCAAAGTTTGCGGTTCAGTAGTACGAACATAGAAGATAGCACCTGCTTCATAGAGAATCTTCAAAATAAGAGCATCATCTTCAGCTATTCTATTAATCCATTTTATATATCCTGTATTACTCCTTCGACTGCGTATACTTATTGAATCTTTGACAGAGATCGGTAAACCATGAAGTGGACCAACAGGTCCTCCTCGTCTATTAAATTCTTCATCCAAATATTTAGCTCGATTGATGGCTTCTTCACCAAGAAATTCTGTAGCACAATTAGTCAATTGATGAGCAATACCAGCTCGTTTTAGATAAGCTCTAAGAACTTGTTCAGCTGTTAATTGACCTAAAGCCATAAGAGTAACAAGTTGAGTAGCTGTATAATTTTCAGTAATATTTATTTCATCATTTGATAGTAGACCGCATTGACGTGGAATATTGCTTACATCAAGAAGAGATGAACTAGGGAGTGCATTTCCGAGTAAACTATCCTTTGGAGTAGATGTATTTCGAATTTCAAGTACTTGTCGAATGAATGAAGCTGCCATCAATGCTACGAATAACACCTTTAATGGAAGAAAAAGAACAAATAGAACCAGATAGATGATGTATGACAAAATTGATAAGAACACTACAAGTGTAAGGTTTCTTGCACTTTATTTAGTCGTTTTCATATTACAAACTGTTTCTTCTTAACAATGCATGTTTATATAGAAGAAAAAAAAAACAAAAGTCACAAAAAGAAAAAAGAAAGAATAAAATATGATCAGAATGATGTTTTTCTCTACTCAGGTTTATTAATATGTCATTACTATATTAATATAAATAATTAGAAAGAAATTATAAAATTTTTTTTTGTTTGATAATTTTAAGATGAAATTCAGTGCACAACAATGATCTGGTATAATGAACAGTTCTGTCTCATAAACATAAAAATTGATTACTTTTTTCGTACCTTACCAATAACATTTATCTTTTTTTGTCTTATTATATTTAGAGGTTAATAAAGCGTAAAGTTCACTGAGTGCGAAAATCAAGCAGCATATTGATTTCGTTAAATGAAACATGATTGGATAGAGCTTCATTTGCATCATCATTAGAGAACGAAATGGAGTTGACTTACGTCAAATACAGTGAGTTATACTCAATAATCCGTGCAAATAAATCGTTTTTGTAAAAATAAACTGATGGTATACGGTTCAAATCTAGAGTCTCTTTGTAGCTGGTCAGTCTTCAATATTTTTCGTAGTAACTTGTATTTAGAGAATTTTTCACAAAAACTAATTGACAAAAACATTGAAAGTATATATTCTGAATGAGTCAGTGAAGCTCTATCGAATCATGTATCAATTGACGAGATCAAAATTCGACTTGATTTTTGTCCCTGGTGCATATCGTATAATAACAACAAATAATGTGTGTTTATTTCTCTATCAAATCTTTTCAGTTCATTAGAAAGTGTTTGTAAGTGTTCGAATTTTGAAAATAACTAAGAGAAATTTATTCAAAAATATTATTAGTCTCAAATTTAGAATATAATTTCACATATTTTCTTTATCTAGTTCATATACAAGAAATACATTTCCGCCCACGGATTGTAATCTTTCATAGCAATATCTTGAATCTATATTAAAATACTATATGAAATGAAATAATGAAAAGATTCTTGTATCCTATTATATTTTCATTATATAATTATTTTGAATGAGACACGTTTTCAAATAGTTTTTGTACTTTTCAATTGTTCTAAAAATTTTTTGATAACATCAAATATTTACTCATTAGATCATAATCCCTCGTAATATATGGTAAAAAGGTTCGCGGCATTTTTCCTATCGATATATCTTTGCAACTACTTGAGCAATTTCAACAAATAAATTCTTGTTTGTAAATTGTAGAGCTTTTCAGCATGCATCTCGTGGTATATTTTGTTTTTTTAATAAAATGTATTAGGTGATGAAAAGATGAAATGAATTACTCGTGTAGAAAAAAAAAGATCTTTTCACAGGGTCGAAAATCAGTCGTACAGAATTTTGCTTTTTTTGAAAACAAAAAGTGCATAATTAAAACGAGCTTTACTTTGTAGATTGTAGAGCTTTTCACGCTGCATCTTGTGATATATTTTGTTTTTTAATACAACGTATTAAGTGATGAAAAATTGAAATGCAATATGCGGCTCTTTAATCTGCTCCACGTGTTATTTTTTGAGAACCAAAAATGCATGTAACAAACTTTCTTTATTGACGCTCTTATTTCTTAGACTAGAACCTTTATTTTTACACAATAAGTACACTTTGAAACGCTCTTTAAAATTACTATTTTTTTGTTGAAATTGCTTACGTAATTGCAAAGATATATCAATAGGAAAAATGCCGTGAACTTTTTTTTTTCTATACCTTATAATATGTTATTCGAGTATTAACATATGAATTCAAATAATCTTGATCTTTTCGAAAAGAAAATTTTATAATCCTCTCAATTTATCAAAATTGAATGTTTTTATTGTAGAGAAACGTATTTGAAGAGAAGAGCATATGATATTAACAATGTTGAACTTCATAATCGTAACAGTAATTGACCTTTTTTTTGTCTGAGCAAAATTATCGTCAAAATAATACAAGGAAAATGTATTATTAATAAAAGATCACTAAATTGTAAGATTTCTAATCTATTTTCCAGTCATACATACTAAAAACACAATCTATATCAACATTATGATGAACGAACGTATATTTCGATCAATTGTATGGGATATTCATATTTATTTAGACATTTTGAAGTAGAATCCTGTGAAACATTTTGACAATAAAATGAGATTCAGGACTCGAAAAGAATTTTCTTGAAGGACTCTACTTCGAAGTTGTTGTGCATAATTTTGAAGGATACTACTTTTATAAAAATACATTGTCGTATGAATCGATATTACCACAAAACCTATTATCGTTAAGAAATTGCTTGTATTTGCAAATGATTTTGAGAATTTAAACAAAATATCAAGAAACACATGGACAAAAAAACATCTTTTTAACCTAATATTTACTAATAGCTAGAAAAAAAATCAAGAGAATGATATAAGATTTTCTTTCTAAATCAAAGTTAATTTAATCTATTCAATGTTAGATATAAATTAAAATATTCATCACTTTATAATCAATCTTAAGATTCGACTCAATTAATCATTTTTTATATATTTTATTAAGATATATGTTCAAACAATATTATATTTGTCTTGATATTGAAATCTAATTAATCGAAGACATATTAACAGCATATAAAAATCCATCATAACCTTTTTCTCCAGCAGTTCCCAATGTTGTTGCTTCAACTGTTGAATCATTTTTAATATATTCTAACAATTTACGAACACCTTCTATATGTGGATCATTTTGTTTTGGATCAGCTACTCGTCCATTACGTACAACATTATCTACGATAATAACACCTCTCTTTCTCACTAATCGTTTAGCTTGAATAAAATATTCAACATTCGATTGTTTATCAGCATCAATAAAAGCAAGATCAAAACTAGCATTCGGATTGATATTGGGAAGTGTTGTCATTGCAGGACCAACTATAATTTTAACTTTATCCATCAATCCTGCATTATTAATATTTATTTGAGCAATCTAAAATCAAATTGATATTATAAAAGAATAAATTTATAAGATGATTCTACTTTAGCAAAATCTTCTGAAATCTCACATGTTACAAGTTCACCATCATCAGGAAGTGCATTAGCTAACCAAATTGTAGAATATCTATGTGACAGAACATACAAAAATGATTGATCAAAATGTTGAAATAAGAAAGATCAGTATATGTATATATATATTATACCCTCCAAGAGTTCCTATTTCGAGTATACGACGAGCTTGAATACTTTTAGCCACAAGATTTAAAAATTTACCTTGAGCTTCACTCACTGCATAAGATGCAAATTGATTTTGTTCGCTTAATTTTACTGCAGCAGTAAGAGCATCATTAGGAGGAATTAGAAAATGATTGTGATATTTATCGGAACGAATCCAATCTGTTAGATTAGTTGGAGTAAAAGCCATGTTTCATATGATTAAAACATCGTTCGTATCTAGTGAATAAAAAAAAACATCTGTATTTAATGTTTTCATGATTTAAATTATCAAATAATATGCGTAGTAATGAAATTATTTCATCATAGATATCATTGAATTATTTCATCATAGATATCATTGAATTATTTCATCATAGATATCATTGAATTATTTCATCATAGATATCATTGAATTCTTTCAAGAATTAATACATTGAATATTATTAGATACAAGATCAACAATTAAAAATATTTTCATACAAATTCTTCTTTTGATCGTATATTTGTTAGCTACAGATAGATACGTGCTCATGTTTAGTCTGAAATATAAGTTTTATTAATAAAACAATTTTTTTATCATATGTTGAAATAAAAACATTGGTAAAAAAAATTAAATTCTTATCACTTCAGTTTCTAGCACATATACGAAAAAAAAAGTATGTCATTCTGTATTGCGCATTTATTTTATCTAGTCAAATAAATAATAATGATTGCACCGAACAGAATGAAGGTTACGATAAGAACGGAGTGAAAGAGAGAGAAAAAAAATGTGCGTTTTAACATGATATAAAACGTGTTTTTTTATTTTTGCATACGTTTTTACTTTCATTTTCTACTCATTGTTGCTCTGTATACCAATGTCTGCTCCAGCTCCAGCTCCAACTCCAACTTCAGCTCCAGCTCCACCTGGTCAATCTCATGGTTTTGGTATAACAATACATCACCAAGGTCAAAACGATCAAAATTCAATTTATCCATCACCAGATGGTGGAACGGGTGATCCTAGAAAACAATCAATTCATCAAGAGGATCGCAATGTTATTATCAACGATGCAACGAGACGTGTATCATTAAGTGAACATGATATTAAAAATAATCGACCATAAACACATATTCTTGTTTTCATCGTAACAATATCATTTTTATTTATTCAAGGACATAAAAAAAAAACAGATTCAATATATATTTCGATAATTTATAAACTTGATATATCTATTTTAAATACTTATAGCATATTTCATATATATGTTTTTTATATATCAATATGGATAGAATACAACAACAATCTGTGAGAACAATAGGATTTGATATATTGTCTTTACTAGAGCATTTTCTTCGAGTTTCTGATGATTTCGGAAGTTTTCAATAGTTTAATGTTGTCTGTATAACACGGACAATTTTATCGTCGCTTGACCTTGAGAGTATTGATTTTTCGTATTGTTCTTGTGACTACTATTGCAATCGATCTTTAAGCGAGCGCTTATAAAGAGATCAAGAAGCCGAGTCACTGGTCAACACTTTTTGGTTTTTCTATGCACATTCGAAAAGGTATCATCTAAAACCATCAAACCCAAATTTTAGCTTATTCGAATGTTTTATTGACAAGTTAGTCTATCCCCGACATTTTAACACTATGAGCTTACCGTTAAGAAAATAGCTAATATTTTCCCGAATATGTCAACTATGATTATATTTTGACAATTTAGAAAATTTTTTTCATGCCATATACCAAACAATAGAGCATCAAAAACTGAGAAAAATTAGCTATTTAAAATATTATATATTATCTATGTATTGGGCGAACATGAATAACAAAGATCTTAAATTACTAGTCAATAACGTTTGACTTTTGGGAGTATATTTGCTGCCATTTGTTGAAACCAAAAGATGCCACACTACATTTTTTATACGTCATGTAACTTTTGATTCCTTACACAAAAGTTTCTCATCAATGCGAAAATTGGCTTACACTGATAATAGCCAAGTAAACAGCCTCAAAGAGAATAATCTCGAATATTTTATAGTGTTGTTCATTCATTCATGAAAGTCTTCATCTCTGAGAAGTTAAAACTCCATCCTGGATGTAATAATAGAGACAGTTGTCTCAAAAAACGAAAAAAGAAAATTTTTTTTGTGAAATCAAATAATGATCATCCAGATAAATAGGGCTTCGAACGCTGATTACAGGCATATAATGTAAGGTTATTACTAATCGTAATTTAGTGGTATATGATTGATCTCTCGAGGTCGTATATTGGTCATCGATCCTCAAAAGCTTCGACAGAAAAATGTTTCGTATAATGCTAAGTCACAAATTAATAATGGACATACATCATATGCCTGTGATTAGCGTTCCAAGCTTTATGTATCTGGATGATCATTTTTTGATTTCATAAAAATTTTTTTTTTCCTTTGTTTGAGACAATTGTCTCTCTTATTACATCGAGGATAAAGTTCTAACTTCTTAGAGATGAAAACTTTCATGAATGAAGGACAATAAAAAGTACCTGAGACCATTTTCTTCGAGGCTGTTTACCTGGTTACTGTCAGCGTAAGCCACTTTTCGAATTAATGAGAAACTTTTGTGAATGGAATCAAAAGTTACATAACATATGAAAAATTCAGCTTGACATCTGTTGATTTCAAAAAATGACAGCAGATATATTGCAAAAAGTCACACTTTATTGACTGATAAATTGAGCCCTTTTTCATTTATGTTCGTTGAGCACATAGATAATATATAATATTTAAAATAGCTGATTTTTCTCATTTTTTTTTGATGCTCTATTGTTTAGTATATGGCATGAAACAAATTCTTTGAGTTGTTAAAGTATAGCCTCATTTGACATACTTGAGAAAATGTTAGTTGTTTTCTTGGCGACAGTAAGCTTGCAATGCTACAAAGTTATTATAAACTAACTTGTCAATAGAACAGTCAAATGAGCTAGAAATCTGGGTTTGATAGTTTTAGAGAATATACTTTCGAATGTGCATAAAAAAATAAAAAAAATTTAACGAATGCCTCAATTTCTTGGTTTCACTATGGACGCTCTCATAAACAGCAACTTTTTTGCTGTCTGCATGATATAGAAGATAAACACTTGCTCTGCATTGAGGTCCACGATGCCTGGCTTTGATGCATCTGTTATATATTGCTTTCCTATTCTCTGTATAGTTCGTATAATTTTTTTGAGCATTCATTTTCAATTGATGCTTCTACTCCATCAATACTGTCAAATGTCGTCTCGTTAACCCAATATTCTGATTTCGTTCTTTGGCAAGCTCTTTCATTTCCATTTATTTCATAACTTTCTCACACACCGACACCTTTTGATACATCACTTTCACATTGAGCAACTTATACAATGTTCATCTATTTTACTTTTGAACTCTAAACTGAAGTTAGAGAAAAGGATAGATACAGAGTACTTACATATATGTCGTATAGCTTTTCGTTTTGTTCGTGATCATGTTAAACATTATCAAAATAAAGATGAATCAATATTTAGATTTCTATTTTGCAAAATTCAATGTTATGTATGTATGTCAGTATTATTCTTTCTTTATTAATTCTCAGATTTTTATTGATTTATTAGAAGTGTATTAAAATTAATGGGAGAAAGTCATGAAGAGATATGTGTAGTCAATATTATTATTTAATTGAATGTTTTCTAGATCAAATTTATATATTAAATATATCAATGATCCAAAAACAAAAGTTATCGAAAACTAATATCTATTTCGAATCGTTAATTAAAAGCATAGTTTTATTTTTGATAAATTATTTAACGAAACCAAAAAAAAACACAAACTTAATTTTTTTCTTGAAATAAAATTTATATTTTCATCTTTTTATGTACAGAAAATTTTTTTCTTGCTATACGTTGTTCTAAACAATCCGAGATGATTTTAGGCTCAAATAATTTCGAACAATTAATCAAGAACACGAAGAATTGAATTATTTATTTATTTATTTTTATTTAACTAGTGCGTGTTTATCTTCTATACATTTCAAAAAATAAAATGCTTGATTATATAAAAAAAAATTTTTTTTGAAAAGTCAATATTAAAAACGTTAGAATTCAATGTCTTGGTTGGTTGCTACCAGATGAGCCTAAAGAAAAAAGAAAATGAAATTCATTTTTCTCTATTATAAACAGAATAAACTGAAACTATAATCTTTTGTGTATAAGAGATTATTTAGTAATAAGAAAGTTTTTTTTTCTGCTACAATGTTCGTATAACAAAAATATTGATTTTTCATCATATACTCTAAGATAAATATCTCATGATAGTAAGTACTAACCACTACCACCAGCACCACTGCCACATTTTGTTCCACTTTCAGGTGCATTATCTGAACGAGAACTCTGTCCTGATGAACCTCCATGATGTTGACCACCTGGACCTAAACCAGTTCCACTCGTTTCACCTCTTGTTCCGCTTTCAGGAGCAGACGCCGAGCTACTTCCTTGGACCTGACAACATCGCTTATTTATTTATTGTGTAAAGAAAAAGTTTCTATTAGATGCTTATATTTTGCTCTCTTGTGCCTTTTATACTATTTTCTGACGACTAACTACGCATAGGAGCGATGGAGTGCAGTTTTAAGTATAGAACAAAAATAGATGAATGCGAACAAAACGATACGAGGCGCATGGACTGATTGGTGTTTTTTTTTTCTGTTCTATGAAGATTCTCTTTACACGAACAAGAAGAGAAAGAAAAACAAACTGAAAAATACTGGGTGAACCAAAGGTTTGGCAACATTTCAAACAAATCAATTTATTTCAAGAGAAAACAAAATAATAAAATAATAATAAAATGGTTCAAAAACTACAATAGAGTACTAATAGAATCAACTATGTTCATCTATAAATAATTTGCCATCGTATTCTTCCACTGAACGAACTTATCGAAGGAAAGCTCAGATTTCGTTTCGCACATAGTTAATATCAACTTTCTTGATTGTTTTGACTTGGTAATATTCCACGTGATTTGAGATCTTATTCTAGATTGAATAATTCAATGGAGTAAGCTTTGGAGAATTTGATGGCAATTTTGTTTTCGGGATGAAGAATTTGAAATTATGTTGGTACTATTTTTAAGCCTATTGGTCAGAATGAGAGCTAGTCCCATCCTATGGGAAGTCTCAATTTTTGTGTTCAAATAGTCGATCACCCTCATTTTTATCAAATGGTATTAATTGCGTAGAATAGCTTTCATCTTTTTGAAAAAAGTATGAATGTGTAAGCCTATACCAGGATACTCACCGGATATTTTCCCATTTTATGTAGTTTACCGCATTCATTAGCATCAGATCGGTTATCAGCCTACACAACGTCATGTTTTTGGTTTGAAAAAGCTATTTTTGGTAAGTATTTTTTCATCGGTAAACATCATTTTCTTTTAGATTTATTACGACTGATGTTCTTCCTAATCTATTCGTAACATCATTTCCTTATTGGCTTTTGATCTTCTTTTAACCTTTGAATATTAATTTTTCGATAATTTTTTATTATTATTTAAATCAATATTGAGTACTCACTTAGTGGTTTGAACATTACTTTTAAAGTCTTCCGCCATTGTTCGTAATCTTTTTCGAGATGTGTTAGAATCAAGCCTTTTTTTCCACTAAATAGATAAGTTTTTTCCTTTACGGCCAGTTCTTGGTCTTCCTGATTTCGGCTTAACATCCATTGACCAAGTTGTTTATACGAACGTACCCTACGATCAATTATACGTCGATGAATCTTATTTGCCAATAATTTAGAAATTCCTGAAGCCTTTTTTCCACTCTTGTAGTGGAACAAAGCTACATATTATAGATCATGACTTTTCACCATCGCAAAATCGACGAAAAACAAAGAAAAAAAGATCAGTCTGTCAGAGTGATAGAGGATACCAGTGTATACTTAAACTATATAAAATAAAACGATTATCGCAATAAATGAATAGTAAATAGAGACTTTTCAAAACTTTTGGCACACCCAATATCTATTGATTGTCATTCTGATTCATCTCAAAACTATTCATATCAAGCAAAAAGTCGCTTAGAATTATATACAATGTCTTCTTATTAAACTATATTACAACATTTCAATCTAGACTTCAATAGTTTTTATTTCGATTGAATATATTTTGATCTAAATTATCTTGAAAGAAATGAATTAAACATATTCAACAATAACATATGTTTGTTAAAATGGATTGATATTGACAAAATGTTTACTGAAAACAAAAATGTCACTGATCGCCAACAAATTTGCAAAAAAATATTTTAATCTCAATATCTGAAATATTCATTCAAACTTATAACACAAATCATGTGCACCAGTGTTGCTTGTGAGATGCGATGAAAAATTTTCAGAATCATTCCATCACATGGGATGAAAAATTTTTGAGAAATATCTCATCCCATGCAAGGCTTTCAAGAATATTCTATCCCATAAGATGTATCAAAGATCTTATGGGACAAACATCTTTTACAACAATCTTTTTTTTTGATAAAGACAACACAACTGTTTCGAAATAGATGTCTTTCTCGTCGAAATTTGAACTTAGTTATAATAAAGTTAGGAAATACAAAATAAAATGATGTAAAATTTAGTAATAGTGGAAGAGTCGAAAGTTTGAAAGGAGAAAGTTGCATTAATAGATCCAAAGACGAAGAATACGACCGTATCTTATTTGAAATTAGTTTCATGATGATTTTCAGCGATTTTTTTGGCACTTTAATATTTCTGTCGTAAAGACGCACATTTTCACTTAGTCCCACTTCCATCTTTTAAATTGCATCAAGTTTTGGAAGTTTTTCGGATCAGCACGTAAACAGTAGATGTCCTTCTCAGCAATGATGTCCCCTATAACATACGTTTATTAGCAATTTTTTTGCATAGTATGAAGGATAATACTGTGCCCTATAAAGTGCGCTAAGAATCAAGAATCTTGCAGCAATTCTCCAGAAATGACCAGGTTCATTTTGTAACTCTGGGAATCAAGGAATTGCAAAAGTGCCAATGTGACTCTTGCCAAACCCCTCGTTGTTGATAGACGGGTGTAGGTATAGGTGTTTAAGGAAAGGATTCCTACTACCCACGCAAAACTAATTCAAAAGTGCTACCGATTCCTATCAGGAAATAGGTGCTGATTGGCAAAAACATTTCGAACTATTGACGTGGGGCAGCGAGCTAATCTGAATAGGATAGATCAAACCCGACCAGTTACCAATAACTATGCTCGATCTCTTGATAGTGTAGTTTATTGTATGTGATCAACTTTCATGAAAATCTTCTTACATATTTTCGACGAGATAAATGCCAAGCACATAATATGTGATCAACTTTATACGACTATCGTTTCATTTCATATTTGTTCTTGTATTAGTTCTTATGATGACAAATAAATCGAGTAAGAAAAATAATAAAACTAATCATGCAAAATATAAACGATGCCATGCTATTATAAGATCAATAGAAGTTTTGAATAAGTTTCTATAATAAAAGTAGGAAAAAATAGAAGAAGACCGATGACCAACTAGTTACTGGTACCACTCCTGTATCTAACTGGCGCTGAACAACTTAATAGTATCTCACGTTTTAACTAGCTACAATATACACATAAATATAACTCCTTTTCAAAATAATCTTTAAAGAACTTTATTTTGTATGAAAAAAAACTCCTGCTAAATACACAAAAAAACAGTGTTGCATAAGAAACCGCATGAGCCTGGTAGGCTCGTTTTTTATTCTCATATCAAATTGAATCCTAAATAGAATGAAACTGCATAATTACACCGAGAGTTTGATGATAATTTCAATTGATCATTCATAAGTTATCAGTTTTGTGAAGAATAGAGAAAAACTGTTTTAATACCTTATTTGATTCATCCTCTATTGTTTTCTGCTAAGTCATTGATACCGTTTTAATCAATAATAATTTAAAGAAAGACAAATTATAATTTTCAACTGGAAACTTTTCTCGTGAAATCGAATATCTATCGTTCCAATTTTATTTTCTAGAACATTCCAAAATAATATTACTGCTATTTACCAACAACGTTTGTCGTTTTTCTTGATAGTTCAAGACTGCGGCCGACATCATTTGCATACACTGCTAGAGTTGTCTGGAGCGCGGTGGAATTTGGAAAGGTGTCCAACAATCTAAGGGCATAATTGTCGGTCTCTAGCAGAAATGTCCATCGCGACTGAAAACCTGTCGCTGTCGCCATGGACATCTCTAGCCTCTAGCAACACTCCATGGTTGTTTTCTGTTTTTTTACTCGTCAACAACGTTTGATCTCTTCCACGTTCCTCGCAATACTATCCAACCTACCTATTGAATTGTCATTCTTTTTTCTCCAATCCTCATAACTTCAAGACAACTCTGTATACGGCATTGTATTAGAGGAGAATCAATGTTAGTCAAAATGAAAAAAAAAAACAATATACAAAAAATTCTAATTAAACACAATTTATTTCTATGAAATATTGTTTGTCGTAGTTGAATCGACTTGATAAAGTGATTTAATTATTGATTGAAAATGTTGTCGAGCATTTGCTCGTCGTGTTTTCAATGTTACTGTAAGAAGTCCATTGTTTTGCGTAAATAATTCCGGATGAAGATAGATATTGCTCAATGTTTGATAAGTTTTAAGTTTATATTCTTCTGACAATCGTTTTAAATCGGATAAAATAATTTCTTTTAATTTAGGATTCTTACACAAATCAGCAAATGTTGTTTTAGTGTTTATTGCTTGAAAATTCTTTCGAATATATTCTTCATCAGGTATAACAATAGCTACGACAGTTGTTTCAGTAGAAATTCCATCAATAAAAATTTGTGCAACCCATCGAGAACGAATATAAATATCTTCAAGACGTTCTGGTGCAATGTATTTTCCTTGACATAGCTTAAATATATGTTTTGTACGATCAATAATACGTAATGCTCCATTACTTGTCCATTCTCCTACATCACCTGTATGCAACCAACCGTCTTTATCAATGATTTCCTTTGTTTTTGCTTCATCATTATAATAGCCTATTAAGAAGGAAAAAAAGCACACTTATGTCAACTGTTGAATGTTGACTAACCTTTAAAAACAGTTGGTCCACGAATACAGACTTCTCCTTGATTTATATCACTTCGATAGGTTGTATCAGGTACATCAATCAACTTCATTTCGACAACTGGTACAGGCGAACCTATTGCGCCATATAACATATCCGTTGGATGAGTACACGTACCAGCACCTGCTGATTCTGTTTGACCATATCCTTCCATAATTGGTATATCGAGTGCAATACGAAAAAAATGCATAACATCTGGTGTGATAGGTGCTCCACCTGTTATCATTACTTTTACCTCATTACCGAATAGATTTTTAACTTTACGAAAAGCAAAATGTGAGAGAAACGACGGTTGTTCACGTAATGCTTGTTGAACAAGAAATCGTTTTATTTTACTTTTATTTACTTCAGTCATAATTGCATCATAAACTTTATTTAAAATCCGAGGTACAACTGAAGCTTGAGTTGGTTTTACAATTGATAAGTACTTTGGAAGTTTTTCAGGTTCAGGACAAAATACTAGTTGTGTACCACTTAATAAAGCTTGTAAAAGTATAAATCGTTCATATATATGAGCCATAGGTAAAACTGAACAGTGTCGATCAATTAAAGGTCCTTTAATATTAGCTTTATCTAAACGCATAAGATGACCTTTTGCTGTTGCCAAGAGATTTTCATGTGATACCATAGCAATTTTTGGTTCCCCTATAAAAAAAAAATGATTGATATGTAAGATTATTCATATTTGTTTGTTTTTTTGAATTTTACCTGTTGTTCCACTCGTCAAAATAAATGTAGCAATACTATCTGGATTAACTATTGGTCGTTCACATAAATAATTATTCTTTATTGATTTGAATATTGTTGAAAGAGAACGAATTTTACTGTTCTCATCATAGTTTCCGTCATCCATAACTAATATCTCTTTGATTTGATTATTTTTCAATAATTCATCTTGAAATGTTTGAATACGTTCTATATTGTCGACTACAAGTACATCAGATTGAGTTCTTTGAAGAACATTTAAAATAGTTGCAGCATCATAAGTAGTATAGAGACTAATAACAATAAATCCATATTTATAACATGCTTGTTCAACAAATAAATATTCAGGACGATTTGCTGATAGAATAGCTACTTTCGATTGCATTGGTGTTAGTTTTGTTTTTGCCCATAAATATGAACCAATATATCGACATTGTTCTTTAACATTGGAATAAGAAAGCCATTGTAATGAATCAACACCATTCGATGATTTTAAAACACCTATACATGGTCCATCCTTTGAATTAATATATCCTTCATGCAAAGCATCACCAAGCGTTCGTACATTGGGATACGTTGTTTTATATAAAGTCCATATATCATCATTTTTGTAGAGTGAACATCGACGAATACGTTCTATAGGATTGATTTCAACAGTTTGTTGTTCTAAATTTATTCCATCATTATACAATCGTTGAATACGTTTTTTATAAGAAAATGTTTTTGTTTGAATGGATCGATGTAATAATATAGCGGATATTCTTCTCGATTTGAAGAAGATGGATGGCAGCATGATTATCACTATTTGACGAAGAATATCTGTAAAATATGTATATATATATATATAATATCTTATTTAGAAAAGAAATTTCAACTTAAGAAAAGAGAATTCATTAGTAACAATATTAAAAGATTCTTTTGTTAATAGTATAGATAAAAAGAAAAATACTAAATTCAATAATTATAATAAACACATATTCATTTCAATGAAGAGAGTTATAGCTACCGTCAGTTTAGACTTTGTTCGACTGCTTTATTTTTTCGATGTTTTTTTTAACTCTTAGACACACCTTTATATATATAGGTCAATTTTACGTGAAGGATTCTGTAAAATAAAAATGATATAGAGAAAAAAACTACTATCAAGTTAAGGGGCCATATAAGTGTAGAAATGAGAATATACGTAATATAAAATGTAATGGTCGTTTATGATTACATACTGATATTTTTTAGAAATGGAATATGACCCCAAAAAATGACTCTGACATATACGTTAAAAGTAGGGTAATCATAGTAGCAAGAAAAAGAAGAAAATGAAGAACAGTATTGCTATAACGTTATATATTTCGGTTGATAATAATATTTTATTTTTATCGCTGCTCTTCAAAAGTCGTAGTCCAAGGTAAACGTCTTTCGAAAAGAATTATGCAACGTAACCTGATAGAATACAATAATAAAATATGACTGACGTGGGAACATTTCTAACTGATAAGCAACGTTCGAGCTCACATTTAGTTGGTGGCTAGGATGGATGATGTATATAGAATAATTGAAAGGATGTGCACCATTGTCGCTTGGTTTCAAAGTTACAAGCAAAACAAGTATTGTAACAGATGATGCTACCATCTGTGCATTATCATTTTTTTTGTTCTTTTGACATCTTAACTAGGACATATCTTTTTTAGTTTAACATGATTATTGACTCTAAAATTCTTAATTAAATCTAATTTTTCATTCGGAAGATATAGAATGTTTCTTTTTTCTTTTTGGATAATGTCTGTTATTTGTTTCATCATTTCTTTGCTCTCCTGTGTTTTCGTTTAGGTATAAAAAAAAAATTAAAATAAAAAAAATAATTATAGCATTTTTTTATTAAACAAATAAATGAAAAAGTGTACAAGAAAAGGAACCAAAATTAAATGAACATTCGAAGAAAGATACTAGTCAAAATCTAAACTGAAAATTTTAGAATCACTAGTCATCAATGAGATAAGCTGTTAATCAAATGTTCAACTAAAAGAAGTATTTAAAAAAAAATCACTCGCAGATGATGGTATCATCTATCATGACACTTGTTTCGCTCGTAACTTTGAAACCAAACAGCAATAGCACAAACTCTCTTAGTTATTTTATATACATGATGAATCCTAGCCACAATAAAACATGAGTTGGGAATGTTCACTCGTGAGATATCGATGATCTAGTTTGTATGCTGTTGATATCAACTTTTCAAAATGAGTTTCAGCTTAAGTGCATTAATGTATTCGCAGTTCAATATTGCTTTGATGATTTATGCATATGTTATCATAGATCATCGATTTCTTACTACTTTCTTTATCAAATTTATTCACAAGCAATCAAATCTAATCGTATGATGAAATCTATCTTGTGTAATGATTGTGCAATTATTATTTTTTTCTCTGTTCTGCGTGTTTGTGATACGTCATGGCAATCTAGCAGAAGAAGAAGAAGAAGAAGAAAATGTAATTTCATCATTTATGTTGTGATTATTTAACGGTAGTGCATTCTACTAAAGAACTAAAATAACCATGTTTCATCGTGAACGTCAATTAATTGATGGAGAACGTATCAGTATCATTCCAAATATTTTATCTGCAGATGAATGTCAGCAATTGATAGCACAAGCAGAAGAATCGGGTTTCAAACTAAGTCCCCCTTCAGGTAAAATAATAGCACGTGCAGAGATTTGTTTTTTTTTCTTTGGATATTTTATCAGTTATGATTCAGAGAAATAGAATATTCTGCGTAGTTCATAATGACAATTTCTTCTGGAAGAAGATATTGTTGTTATTTTTGAAAATTTTCTCTTAGAGAAAAATTAATCATTAGAACGTTTGGATAGTTCTATATTTATAATGTGAACCAAGAGTTTCAATGAGATTATACTGAGTTTATTTACCAATCAAACAAATCACTATCTGTGATATATAGCAAGATATTATCTTTCTTTTTGACAATTTTAGGTGGTGGTCATGGTCGTACACATCGTGAAGATCCTAGAACTAATGAATACACAGTAATCAATGATCAATCCTTAGCTGATAAATTATTTAAACGAGTATCACCGTTACTTCCTCCAACCTTAGAATGGATGGCAGATAATGCTTATTTTACTAAAGGTATTGGAGGACGTGAATGGTCAATTGTAGGCTGTGTTGATCGTTTACGGTTTTATAAGTATAAAAAAGATGAAGAATATCCTGAACATATGGATGGTAGTTATAGTCGTACAATAACATACAATAATGAATTACAACAATCATATAAACAACATTCATTTTTAACATTATTAATCTATTTAAATGATGATTTTCAAGGTGGTGAAACAAAATTTTTTCCTGATAAACAACATTGTCGATTTCTTCGAGACATCGAAAATAAACAACCAGTTCATGTAATTAAACCAAAACAAGGAATGGCTTTAATAAATATTCATAATATTCTTCATGAAGGATCAAAAGTTCAATCAGGTATTAAATATGTTCTAAGAACAGATATTTTATATCAAAAAATAACGGAATTACATCCAAAACTTGAAAAATATTCACAAAAGAACAGTAACAATAATGACAAAATCATAGTTACCGAATGGGAAAAACATTTTGAACCATCATGTAAAATGTATCATGATTAAAATTCAACAATAAAATATGTGAATGAATAAAGTAACTAATTATGTCGTAAAAATGCTTCTCAGCAATAAATATAAAATAATAAAAAATCAATTCAGCATATGTTCGAATCAATAGTATCATTTTTAAATGTTTACTAGCAAGTTAATAATAACTATGAGGCTTCAGATTGCTATAAAATACAAGAGAACACTAATGAATATTTAACTATAGACTCGTATGTTATCAAGTGTGTTCTAGAACTAAAAACACAGACAGAGTTATCGTTATTATTGCTATAAATCAAAGTATCAAATAATGAAATATATTGTACTTTTTTATCCAGACTTCTATGAACTCAGTATACATTATTAAATTCTTGCTGAATAACAAAGTACACATTTAAAAATGAATATTTAGTGCAATATATCTTATCGATCGCAAAATATCATGTATAAGCATTACGTAATATTGTTTCAGTATAATTTATTGATGATCAATTGTAATTAAGATCCATATCTCAAACTAACAAATTTAAAATATGACGTATCTTGATCGAGATATTTAATTCTTAAGATTTTTACAATTTAAAAATAAGAACAGAAAAAAGCGTTGCAGTGTCAAACTTGCAAACAAATACGCACTGTAGTCGTGCATAAGATGTCGAAAATTGATGTATATTAATGCATCACTTGACGGTTTATGAGATGTTTACATATCTAAAATAAACTAAGAAAACAGGAGCGTACTCGGATGACAATTATCAATAGGCTATTGCGGGACTGCAACGACTTCCAATGATGATGTTGAAGAGGAAATGTGAAAAGCGAGAGAAAGATTTGATTAATATGTGAATAGAACTTATTGATTAAATTTCATATCAGTCCTTGGATCTGAACTTGTTTTATTGGTAATTCACAAATCAATTGATTTTTAATCACTTATTAATGAATCTTCAATGAGTATTATATTAAATCAAAATGGAACTGTTGCAGTCTGAGTTGGCAGTTTCGTAAATCTAAATCAGAATTTGATAATAAGAACGTTTCTCATGGATATCTCAACATATTGATGCAAATACTATTTGTTTATTATAAGTTCAATTTATATATAGAAATTGTTCAGTGTGTTTTACTCTTTTAAAATAAACTATTTATTACTAGACTAACATTTGTTCTAACTAGCTTATTGTCAAAAATACAGCAGTAAAGTTATAAAAAAAAAATATAGTCTAGTTTTCTGCGTCGAAGAACATTAAAAATTGTTTTAAATGGATTGAATTTGACATCAAACGATTCTGTACTAATATGAATAATGTTTTTGAAAAACTAGAACATGACCTGATGCATCCTCTTGTGTATTGTCGTTCATTAACTTTATTAGTTTCACTTTCTACATATACATGTAAATGTATTTTTAAGATGAAAAGAGAATAAATCGAGCGAACAGAATTACTTAGTCAACTATGCAAAACAAAAAAAACCAGAGCATGAATGAACATTTTAAAGAAAGAGAAGAAAAAAGGTTGCTCATTTTTCTTTGTTTCTCGTCGTTATGAAAAGAAGAAAATTAATGTGAATATATAAATCATATAAAAACAAAATTCACTGAATTCTTGTATAATAAGAAGTGCTAAAGCATAATGTTTTGATAAATACGGGATTTTCTTATAGAAAAACTATTCCTTATAGAATATAAAATGACAAGCATGACTTTAATGAATATATAAATATTTGATGGTAAAATATTTTCTAAGCTTCGGTTACACACACACACTCTTTTCTGAAATGATATCATAGGCATTTCTTTAACATTAGTATGAATTTACTTCATGACTGGTGATTTCGTATTTTGAAATAACCGATATTCATAACAAAAAGCTGATGTGAGAAGACTTTTCTTGAAAAAACTATAGGAATAATCACTAAGTAAATGGTAACATTTATTGTCTGTTGGGTACATATGGTAATATTGCAATCATTATCTCTGATATCATTTCAATAATCGAAATTGAACGGAAAAATATTATTAAAACCTCGGTTTTTTTTGTTCAAGAAAACATGAAATGAAGATGTTTTTAATCGTTACAATCAAATCTCTTACAGATAGATAAATTGTAAAAATCCCATTTTGAGGAAGAACTTCATCAAATAATCACGTATTAAAATGTTTGATAGCTTGAAAAATGAATTTAAACTGCGTATTCTCTGTCTGTGTGAAGGTTAGAAGAATTTTATGACTTCATTTCTGCCTCTTGGCGTTTCGTATTGATATGATACTTTTCTACAGTATAAGCTAGAAGTGTTCGTTTTAATTCGATTTCTAAAACCAAGTTAAATAGCCAAATCAGTCCAATCAACCTGTCACAAATGTTTTTGTTCCAACATAATGACATTTTTTGCTTTTCTTAGCATATCTGTTTATGCGTCATTACGCTCTCTTGCGTTAGCATAAATGTTTTTAACTAATCATATAGAATATTCCAAGGTGTTTTACTCTATTCTGATTAATAACGTTGTTCTGGATTATTTCACTTTAGATTTTCATTGATTGAAAAAAAAAGCAGTTACCTTCCATGTTTATTCTGACTTGCTCAGTCATTCCCTTGAAGTAGAGACGCGTTAATGTTGATAGCACTTGCTTGGTGATTGAACGAAAGAAAAATAAAGGACAAGATCAATCTGTATGCTTAGTTTTGACATTTAACGATTGAATACTCGTCGATGGTGAGTATGTCCTATTATCTGTTCAAACAAAGTATAATCCACTATGTCGTCATTCTTTTGGATGTATAGAAAGAGTTATTTATATAAAGATACGTTTGTTTTAAATTCAATTTTGATAGCATTCTAGTGAATAATTCGGATCTCTAGATAAAATTAAATCGAATCAGTTTAGTTTGAAAATTTTAAACATTCAATATTAGTGAAGAAAATCGTTTACACGAATATTCTGATTTATCTGACTCAGTTGTTATTCTTATCTCGAACAGGAATAGTTTAATTATAGGACAATTTAGAATCTTCATGAGATTGTATTGAAACTAGACGTGCACCAAAATCAATACGGCTTTTAATATTTTGGTTTTGAGATATTGATAAAATAGTTAATTTTTTAAGAATAAAGCAATGTTACTTTCCTGTAAACTTTATTACATATTTGTTCCTTTGAAATCTACTGTTGATGCAAGAACAAATATGAAAAATTCTTTCTTTTAAGTCTAACACACAAATAAAACTTTTCAACAAATACAGCAAGCATTTGTGAAAGACCTAATTTTAGTACAATTATTTGTACGAATTAATTTTTTTCATATATACTTTGAAGAAAGTTCGTTACATAAAGCAAATATTTATCCTTTCACTTCAATTCTAATTACTATTCATTTATATACATATCTTATTAAAGATAAAAATACTTGTAAATATACATTCTAGCTCTTCGATTATTGAGCAACAATTATTTATTAAAAAATATTAATATGCTATGCAATTTAATAAACGCTTCACTATAATTTATATAATCGAAGGTTCCACGCTCTTTACTAGTTAATAACAAGTTCAATCAAAATATTACTTCAGTAAAAACTCTACTGATTCAAGCACTATATATACTTGGTTGAATCAAATCACTTATCTAGAGCTAGTCAAATTATTTCGAAAGGGACACAAACTTTCCAGAAGTTAATTTTAACAGAACATACATAATAAAGTTTACAGGAAAACATTATAGATTTATCTATACAAAATCAACTTTTTAATTAGTTTCTCAAAACCAAGAGATTTTCCATTAATGCATGCCTAAATGGAAGGAAAGAACAAATTTTAGAGGTATTTCATGCTTTGCGCTTCCTCTCTCCCCAAATGTGTGACTTAATATTCAATTCTACCGAAATGTCGAAACAACAAGTGAACAGTGCATAAATGTGTTGATTGAAAACATAATTGTGTTACTTCTGTTTGTGAGAGACCTTGTTCATCGTCTACACTTGTTGTATATGAAACAAATTGTTTTACACAGCAGTCCATAATGAGTTTGAAACGTAGAATTTAAATAAAACTTGTTGATCATTCTCATTCTATGTAATCGATGAGAACAATTACGTCTTAGTTTTTCATACATACTTGCACGTGTTCAATCAGTTGAAAATCTATGAATTGAATAGATTATCTGTGAGATCATATTTTTAAAACATTTTTCAATGACAATCAGACTTGGAGCAATTTATATTTGTATTTAATAAAGCATTTTTTTTTTATTATGATTAATAGAATAAAGAACTTATGAACTATTTTCAAATGTTGTCTTCATTACAGATTTGTCAAATAGTACCTTATCTTCGATTTTTTTCCCCCACACGTTCAAGGAATAATGTTGATCATTTTCCGAATACGTCAAAAGATAGAAAATGATACGTTAAATAGACTTTTCGTATGACATGTCACATCCACTTTAGTATCGAAAGAAAAATGTTTGCCATTCTTAGAAAATATAAATTCATCGATTTCATGGAATTTTTTTATTTGACAATACTAATTCGCAGAATGATGATGCATTAACGAAGTGATTTTTATTTTCAATAAAATCAGTTGATTGACACGATTAGAAAATATCTCAATTCTGAATTCATAGTGTCTTTTTTAGATCAAGAAACTTTGATTTATCTACGAGTAGTTATTTAGAAAGAAAAGATTTTGAGTACGTGATATTGATTATAGAGTAAGTAGTATGATGATCATCAATTTTTTCATAACGTAAATTCATGTTTTTCAAAAGAAAAAAATTTAACTATTTGTGTGTTACTTTTTAGATCTTTTTTTCGTTAAAATTATGGAAACAAAAGAAAACATCGTTGGACACGTCGTTGTAAATCATCCGATGAATCCAAATCTGACAGATGAACCAATTTATCGACGACGAATTTCAATCATTCGAGATTTTGCATTGAATACAACAACTCATGGTATTCCAGGTATTGCTCGAGGTCGAAGTACACAAAATCGTCTCTTTTGGTCACTAGTATTTATGATATTCTCTGGTGTTATGTTGTATTTTATTATTCAAGCAATTCGTACCTATTTCGAATATCCAACACAAACAAGAGTGAATATTACCAGTGAACGCATACAATACTTTCCAGCATTGACTATTTGTAATGCCGGTGGAGTTCGTGCCGATGCAGTGTTCCTACCATATGCTCATTATGTTCAGAATTTCAATGTTACAACTCCAAGTGGTGAACGATTAGTATTCGATCAAGCAGATTTTATCAAATTATTTTTCCGTAACCTGATCAATGAAAATAAATCAATAGATGAATATGTGTTTACATTGAATTCGATGCTGCTAAGCTGCGAATATGCTGGGATTGAATGTTCAGTCAAAGATTTCATTGAATTCGATTCCTCTGTATATGGTCGTTGCTATACATTCAATGCTAAAACAAAAAATGGTAGTGTGCGCTACAGCCATGATATAGACAACACTGACAAATTGATATTGCGTCTCTATCTTCATGCTCATCAATATGTAGCTAATGCCGTCGAAGGTAGGACGAATCCATTTTATTCCTAACCATTTATTTTTTTGGAAGAAAGCGTAAACTAAATATACAACACTAAATTGTTGAATCGTGCTATATATGTTTCCGAAAAGGATCGAACGATGAGTTATATGCATAGAAAATTTTCTCCAGAGAGAAATAGTTGTTCTCTTAAAAGTATGCGAATTTTACATCAATCATGCATTGCCCTGAACTTTGGAATACTATCCATTTCAAAACAGAAGGCGAGTGATTGTGAGTCGAATAACTTCGGAACGGAAGTAGCTATGAAGCTACGATTTTCACCATTAAAAAGCAGATACCGGGACACGTAGATCTATGGAAAAATTTCATTAATAAGTCATGGACCAATAGGATGAAAGACCGCTGGACATTTTGAAGATAGTTTTTAGTACAGTTTGTTCGTTGAATTTTGAACTTCATTTAAACCATTCAATAGAAAAAATTGTTTTCCTTCAATCTACACAAGACTGAGCTTGATAGCTTGCTCTGTTGGGTAACTACAAGTATTTTCCTGAGACTCCCGAAATCAGCCAGGCGATATGGAATCACTTTTAAAGGCATTACATTGTAGGTAATCGACCACGCTGAATCCAGTGATGATATTTGTTTTTTATTTCAAATTAATCTGAGACCATTATAGAAAAGTTTTCGTAAATCTAGTTTTTACTGCTATTTGACTTAAAGAACAGATATATTGAAAATCTCGATACAATGATCTCAGATTACTTTGACATAAAAAAAATACCATCACTGAATTCAACGTGGTCGATTACCTATAATGCAATGCTTTGAAGGGTGATTTCGCATCACCTGGCTGATTTTGGGGGTCTCAGGAAAATGCTTATAGCTACCTAATGAAGCAAGCTATCGAGCTCGGCCTTGTGTAAATTGAAAGAAAACAATTTTTTCTATCGAAATATGTTATTTGAAGTTCAAAATTCAACGAAAAAAGCGTTCCAAAAGCTATCTTCAAAATGTCCAGCGGTCTTTCATCCTATTGGCCCATTACTCACCAATAAAAGTTTTCCATAGATTTACGTGCCCTGATGTCTGCTTTTTAATGGTGAAAACAGTAACTCCATAGCTGCTTCCACTCCCGAGTTATTCAACTTGCGATCACTCGTCTTCTATTTTGAATTAGATAGTAGTAACTATGCATATATAGAGCAAAGAAAAGTAACTTTTCACATTTCTAACACAATAGTAGAGATATGAGAAAAGCACATACATTTTTCTAAAAAGTGATATATAGATTTCACGAAGTCATTCCGTCCTATGTAAATTGTTATTGAAAAGTTTTGCATATGTCTACATTTAGGTGTAGCCATGATGGCCATGGTTCATGATAATAAACAATTACCTCTTATTGAAAGAAGAGGTATGGCCTTAGCACCAGGTTTTCAACATCGATTAGCCTATACAAAAAGAAACATCTTTTTTTTATCATCACCTTATTCAACATGTACGAACAATATTCCTCCTGTTATGAAATTCATGTTCGAGAAATATGTAGGAGCTGATTATGCCTATTCAGAAGATCTTTGTTATATCCTTTGTGCACAAGCGTATATGTAAGTGTTCACTATTCCTAGCATAGATAATAACAAAACAATAAATTCTTTATTACATTATTTTTCTTTGTAGTTATGAGCGATGTAAGTGTGTTAATCCTGCGCAATGGAACGCTCGTTCGATAGTTTTACCTGGAACAAACGATATTGTTATGGCACCATTATGCAATACATCCAACATTTGTTTTAAGCAAGCTGTCAATAATTTCGATTTGACACATTCGATTCGTGGTCGATATTGTTCCTATTGTCTACAACAATGTTCTATTACAAATTTTGCTGTAAAATCGTCGTTATCGATTGCACCACCGGAATGGCTCGTACCTGATATTCGAGCATTCGTTGAAAATTCATCAGTTCCGTTGCCATTCGATTGGTCAAGTCGATGGAATGAATATATTCGTTCAAGTTATGTATCGATAGAACTATTAGCTGAATCCAGTTTGATTGAAACTTATACACAAATGGCAGCATTGAACTTTATTGATGTTATTTCGAATGTTGGTGGACAAACAGGTCTTTGGATTGGAATTAGTTTTCTTTCTTTAATGGAATTGATCGAAATGTTTTATCGACTCATCAGATTTCAAAATCGTATATCTCAATCAGTTACTATTGAAGATCAAAAGCAGAGGGAACTAAAACAATAATTACTGTGTTAATCAACTTGTATTTTCTTTATGTTATTTACTGTTATAATGATACTATTGTCATTAATCAAACGAACTGACAATGACTTATTAATAAGAATATTCTGCTAATAAGAAAGAATCTAGTTCAGATGTGTCATGGTCTTTCATCCACGATTGATACCATCAGTTAGAAATTTACAATAATCAAGTTTTTGAATTAAGACCAAAATATATTGAAATATTGATGTTTTTCAAATAAAATCGTAAATAATTATTTGATCGATTTTATTGGAGAACTTTTTCTATGTCTGTAAATAAATATCGTACGACGAGTATCATTTAAATGTTTTATCTTTCTTACTTATTTTAGTTCTCGATAGAAGAAGAAAAGCTCTTTCCTTTAGAAAACTCTGCATGTCAATAATCAAGTAGCCAAACTTAGAAAATAAAAAATCCACTGGAATTTTAGAGCATCAATTAGATTTTGTCTGTTTAACTTTCATACTATGCGAATAGACCAATCGATCATCATCGAATATGCTTCATCGAATTCATCTAATATAAAAAGCTTTATTGAATGAATGCTAGTAGATGTTCGTTTGATGACAACCAATTAATTATAGGACGTTAATACGTTGTTTTTATACGATCATATTTTATTACCAGTCATAAAACTACATCATAGTCACGTACTTGTTGGAGGTATTAATGAATTCGTTGCATATCGAGAACTTGTTGGACTTGTTGATGATTCATTGGATGTTGTTATTGTTGTTGCTCGTGTAGATGATTGTTCTTAATACGAAAATATTAAATTAAATTGTTTGCAATACATGTTCTAAATGTTCAAATGGATCAATACGCGAAGATAAACGTCGATATTGAAATTTATTTGTTTGAACTTGTAAAACATTTGTTTGAATTTGAGCACGCTTTCGAATGATGGGAACTTTTATTGATGATGACATATTGTTGATGTTATATCAGATATTGACAAATCCAACAAATTATCTATCATGTATGTCATCATTCAAGAGAGAAAGGATTTCTTTACAGTTGTCGTAATATAGATTACGTTTATTGCATAGCAAATAAATAAATAAATAAATATTGATAAGAAAAAAAAACCAAAAGACGAAATTCTTTCCGTACTTGTATTATACGATACATGAAATAAAATTGATGTTTCAAAATATAAATTATGTATTTCAATATTTAAAAAAATTAAAAAATTACAAAACTTTTGATTCATTAAGAAAAATAAATTAAAATGCCAATCTCGAATATTAATAATTCATTGTCTTTTTTTTCTGTTTGTCAGTGAAAGATATTTTGATGAAACAACGCACCTGTAAAGATATAAATACCAGAGATACAACATGAGTTTTATTCATTTATCAGTTTTACATATGTTCTGTGGCCTTACAACAGTAAACAAATGGCGAAAACAAGTCAATGTTTGGTTCTACAAATTGTCATTGGTCTTGTTGCAATAGTTCCACTTTTTTTCGGTTTAAATGGTATAATTCGTGGTCCGAGTATGTTAGCAACAGGTTATAATTATCCTATTTCGGTTGATAGCCATTTTCGTTATTTATCTGGTTTACCTGTTGCAATGGGAATACTTTTATTACGTAACTTACCGACTATTGATCGAGATGCAAGTGACTTACATCGTGTTTCTTTGCTTATATTTATTGGTGGATTAGGACGTTTATGGGGTTTAATAACTGTAAGTTTTGAAGTTAGTACTATGGTGACCACTCTTGTTGAATTATTATTATTTCCATTTCTTTGTCTTTGGCAACATCAAGTACAAAAAAATAGTGTACGATCACGTACGAAATAAGATTATTTTCTAGAAGTAATTCAATTCTTTTTGATTATATTAATTATTTTCATCTAAATAAAGTATGCATAAATAAAATTTATCATTTGAAAACATTAGTATACGATATGAAGAAAAACTTATGTTCAAAATAATTGATAATATGACAAACTATTTCATGTAAGTAACAGTTCTATTCTCATTTGTTAGATTGTCTCTGTCTTACAGACACTGATAATCAATACCTTTAAGTATTCTTTGACTAAAAAATGATTAATCTAAAATAATTGTTTTTCAAAAGTGACTTCTACTTTTCTATATAGAAGAAAATAAATGTTTAAGTAGTTGAAGAAAATAATATTTCATTATGCTTAGTTTCTTTCATGAAAAACAAAAATTTTCTTCGCTTTTGCCACTGTTGTTGATACAAAATCATGAATGATAAATTGTTTTCTTGTCGTCTTTCTTCATCATTGGCATATTCAATAAAATCAAATTAAATTATTAAAAAAATAAAATATTCTAAATAATTATAAGTTCACGTAAATTTGAGGAACACTTTTCTGAGATTTTGTTTTCATCAATCATTCTGATAATAAGTGTCAGTCGCAATAAAAAATATATTCCAGTTCAACGATAGAACATTTGGTAAACACAAACTCCATTATAGAGACAATATTTCTTCTCTTTGTACTTTTATGATTATTCTTGTATTGGTACTAGTCATTACAATTCAACTATTGTTCCGTTTCAATCGAAACAGAAATTTTCATACTCTGGAAGTTATCAAAATTGAATCAAAGAATAAAAGTAAAAACTCATTTTATTATGAATATATAAAGAATGATTTATTACATATTATAAGAAAATATAAATCTTCTCAATTACAACACCAATCAAGATGATTTAATTTATAGAGATCATTATCGTTAAAATATAAATACTTCTTCATTATTAACTAATCAACATCTTAAAACGAGATAAGTAGCAGTCGTCAACGAAAAAGTATTACTACTTAGTTCTTCACCAATAATTGGATCGAACTATTTACAGGAGCCTGTGTGCTCGCAATCACCTTAATAGCATTTCCTTGAATAATTGCAGCTAGTTTAGCAAGTTGATTTTGATGTAGACTATCCACAATTAATCAGTTGATGAAAGTTCAAATACACCAACGTTTGATTCTATCTTGCACTCTTTCATGTCAGTCATTATTGAGTTTAAGAGCAATGAATGGAATGAAGCAAGTTTATGTTGACTTTATAATATCTTCGTTGGAGCCAAAATCCAACAAAATAAAAACCTCGACGACTGTCATTCTAGCCGTTAGTTAATCCATACATAAGAAGATGATGTATTGCTGACAATTCAGTAACTTCTTCAGGTGAATCAATATTTGATGAAATCTGTATGACATCAGCACACGATTATGCAAGAATAACGGTCATCTGTATATCAGCTACTTTGAAATATGCTACTATGACCATTGTTTTATTGGATCTCATCCACATTCATGACATAATTACTTCAATTACATGAATAATTCATTGATAACCAATATTACGTGATTTTCAGAATCTCACGTGTTTTGAGCTACCGTCAATGAGAACGTAATATTGCATTGAAAAGTACACGTTTTTGTGCAAGTATACATCGTCTCGATGTGCTGCGAGTATCATTTTGTAGATATATCGTAATATTCTATTAAAAACCAAGTGGTTGAATGATAGCAGATATTTGTGATCTTTTACGCGATAACAACAGTTTGTATACCATAAGTCAGGACCAGGAAAATAGATATCATTTGGCATATGAGAAACAAAAGCTGAATCCCAATTTCTTTGAAATGAACAAAGACTACGAATCCATTGGTACTGTATAACGACTACAATCATTACGTGCCAAAATAGCATGTGTTACATTTGTCATGTCAATTATTGAAATTGTTTTCGACTCTTATTGTCCTTACAACAAAATAATTCAATAACTTTCATGATTTAATACATTTGTTTTAACCGAACTTGATTTATATATTGACATAAAGATAATAAGCTTAGTCAAATATACACTAATCATACCTTGGATGCTCTATATACCAAAACACATACTCTTATTACTACATGTTAAATATGACCATATTCTCATTCATAGTAACTGATCGTAATGTCTTCGAATTTTGCGAAACACATTACGTTGCAATCTATATTCTAGATCGATTATATATTATAACGCATGAGAAACGTGCTACGCTCATTACGTTGCTAATTCTAATCATTTTCTTTCGTTCTGTTGTTTCTTCTTATGTCTATATCATGAGTGTTTCTTTTCTGTTTTGTTATCACTTACGACGAAATGTAAATGAAGGTAAAACGCTTTTTTTTATCTTACGGCCCATCGACTACTCATTCATTTATGGATGAAAAAACCATAGACAGATGATTTTGTTTTTTCTCCGAAGATGGTGTATATAAAATACTTGTCTAAATGACATTATTCGAATTATAACTCTGTTCACTTCAGATTTTAATATAATTTATTATAGAGAACAAGAAAATATGACTACCAATCATCAGGAACTTAATGATAAAAACAGCAGACTAGCTGAATTGGAAGTTATCTCTGGATCTTCTGCTATATTGCATTTTGCTGGTCGTCATATTCCGGCTGCTATAGGTAGAAGTGGTGTGCATGCAGATAAACATGAAGGTGACGGAAGTACTCCATCAGGTTTACTACCTTTACGACGCGTATTATATCGTTCTGATCGTCTTGATCCACCTAATACTTCCCTTACATGTGAACCACTGATTGAAAATGACGGTTGGTGTGATGATGCCGTACATCCAGATTACAATCACCAAATTCGTCTACCACATCCTGGTAGTCATGAAAGATTGTGGTTAGAAAATCATTTGTATGATATAATTGGTATACTCGGTTATAACGATGATCCAGTAATAGCTGGCCGAGGTTCGGCTATTTTTCTTCACATAGCACATCCAGATATGCGACCGACTGATGGTTGTATTGCTCTATCTTTAGATGATCTTCGTTGGGTGCTCGAACAAGGCCTTCAAGTTATTTTTGTTCCGAACTAATTACATAATTTTTCTTCTGTTTCAGACTACGCTTATCATTGTTAGTCGATCATTTGTAGATATTAAAAGTTTTCTATGCTTATTTGTGATTTTAGTGTTCTTCATTTTTTTCTTATGAACATCATGAGTAGTTGACTATAGTAATCGATGATAGAAAAGTCCGTTGGTTAATTTAATTGTCGAAAACAGCAGAATAAAAATCAGCTACGGTTGCAATACAACTTAGCTGGACTGATCTGAGATGAACTGATGTTTAGAAAGTCTGAACCAAATAAAACTCTGTCTATTGAACACACCAAAAAAAGTAGTCATGCATTAAGTTATTGGTCAACATCATATTTATATTTAAATTGTTTTAATGATGATTGAAAAATATATTTTTCATTTAAATATCATAGATGAATTTTTTTCCGATTGATTACTAAATGCAACAAATTGAATTTATTTCTTAAGTTTTATAAAGTCTCTATTTGATTTGTTCTGTTGGTTTACTACCGGCAAGATAATATCAAGTGAATAATTGATCTATTTTTTCATATTTCAGCAACATTTGAAACACATTCATCTGTAATATTATTATAATTATAATTAAAATAAAAATGTAGTAAATCATGATTCGATTGCATTTTATCAGAGTCTTTCTATATCATCGTACCATTAACTTTATAGATTTTATAGAAATTTGATTTATGCTCTTATATAAACGTGGTACTTCATTCGATTCTCAAGACATTACAATTAAACAGAGATATATCTCTACAACTGTCGTATTTCTTATAAATATATGAGCAGATCATATAATACTCATGCCTTCTAAAATATTACAACGAATACAATAATATTTGCTTTTTTTCCATATTCTTTGATGTCACATGTGTTGTTTCATTTTTTTTGTATTATTACCATTTCGATTCGATGAAGAGTAGAGCTCTGTTAATGTTTCATTCAGAGATCAAATATAAGCTCTGATTTGATTACTTTTTAGAGTCATATATTGTAAAGATATTTTTTGATTGCAACGTATGACTTTATAAAAGTGCATCATTGGTAAATGACTTATTTGAAAACTTTTTCAGTTATAAAGAACTAAAGAAAAAATCCGACAATAGTATCAACATTTGTAAGTTTTATTCTAGCTTTGCACTACTGATCTAGTGTCAAAGTACTTTAGTATTTAACTCTACTCCATCTATGTAAATGCTTTTTCATATGGGAAAGATTCTGCATACATAGAGATAAATATAAGCCGATGCATTAATTGGCAGCGACAGTAGCTGAAAGTTCTCGATGTTTTTTTCATAAAAACTTTCTTAGTTTTGAGAAACTTTGAAATGAAAAAGAAGGAAAATAATGGTAGAGAATGTACAGATAAGAAATGAGACAAGAACAGTCTTGAAAATTAATCCTGAATATCGACATTTTTTAAAAATCTACAATCTGGTTCTCATGTTGCGATGGCAGTGGCTAAATTTTCCAGCAAATAGTTACGGCAACAGTGGTGATGCGACTGAATCATTGAAGTATTGGTGGCAGCGGCAGCTCAGCTAATCAGCTTACACCTCAATCGTTCTACGCATCACATCTCTCGGAGTATATCCTTAAATATATAATTATACAATCTTTCCAATTTTCCTATAATTTACATACAAAAACTTCAGCACATTGATTTAAAAAAATAAATCAAATATTTTATTTTCAAATGAGATGTTTATTGAAACTTTGGATTTATTCTGCTAGACCAGGGCTGGCCCGACGCCCCCCCCCCCAACTTTTGAAAAGTTTTTCTTTTTTCTCTGCAGAAGCGCGATGGAATTTTTTTCGGTCTTCGTCAAAAGTCTTATCTAAACACCTACTACATTTGTGACGATAAAAAAAAGATTTTTTACTAAAGCTACGAAAAAAAAATTTTCGAACCCCCCCAAA